GACAAGGCAGTGATCCATGAAGACCCTAGCAGGCTGCTAATGGTGTGGGCCAGGGGCTGACTCCAGGTTCCAGCAGCAAGCAGTGAAGTGAAGAAAAGGGATAGGAATCTTGCATATTATGATGGAAAGCAGATCAGGAAGAAAAAAAGCCAATGAATGATTGAATTTGTTGTGGAGAGATATTTATTTATTTATTTTTATTTCGAATCTAGATACCGTCCATCTCACAAAGAAGTGACTCTGGGTGGAAGTATACAGAGGAACAACTAGAGGAGGGAGAAGTGTAATGGATTTTGTAAATGATGGAAAAGAGAGTGGAGAGCAATGGTAGACAACATGCAGAAATATGCATGAAAATGAAAGGGTGATGGCGAACATGCAGGACCAGAAAATAGAAGAAAGGGGAGAAGTGGACCAATAAACCAGCTGGAATGGCAGAAACAGATATAAAGATGACAAATAAAAAGAGTATGGACTATTGAGAGGTTTTGGATTAAGATATGAGGTTGAAGTCTTTGACCTGGTGTCTGGAGGCTATGAGGGACTAGGTGGAGCAAAACAAATTGAGAATGAATCCCAGCAAGATGGAGCTGCTATGGGTACAAATACTCTCTGTTTCCACGAATGCTTCATCTTTTGTTCTAGAGCTAGTGCATTTCCCAGAATACAGCTGGTGACAGGAGTTTGGAGAAGCGCAGTTCAAAACGTCTAGACAGCATCAATTTACACAGTCTACCCCTACTTTACACTGCTTAAAGATTCTTTTTAAAGGAGCAGAACCAGTTTAAACTGATATTATTTGGAGGATGCATTGAGATGACCAATAACTTTTCCCAAAGTAAGACTTTTTTAGTTAAAGATAGATTTCCAAATCTCTATTAAACAGCGCACTCTTGTGGTTAAGGCTTAATAAAAAAAAAAACCTGCATTATACTTTAGGTGAACAAAAATAATATTCACTGATTGCATTTATGTTCCATTCATCTACTGGGCCTGGGTTTTTTTCTTCTTCTACTTTCTCTTCATCTGTATAGCATGCTCATGCATTCTAGGATATTAGAAAAATGTCTTTCATTCCAGATTCAAAGTGTTGTCTCAATACACTGTATTCCCATTTATGCTGATACACTTGGCTTTGAACTTTAATTGGAATTCACAACTGACAATTTATGCTTTACCAAGATATTACCGACTGCATTAATTTCTCCTCTCAAACTATGCTGGAATAAATTCAGCATACACTGGGATTTATATAGATAGATTTGACCTGGCAGCCTCCTTTATAACTTCATTAAAATGCTTTATTATAGAAGCAGGCAAGGTTATGAAGATAAAAACATCAGTTTTAAACATCCATGTTCTTCCAGTAAGTAAAATTTTATTTTCTTAAGGACTGAACATGTTTCTAATAATGCAAAGGTTTGAACTGCTTGGGAAACCTTTTCCCAGTAATATATTTAATGGTATTTTTCATAAAGGGATAAGGAAGACAATCTGGAAAAGACAGAAAATGTCAAATCTTTCTCCATTTTATACTTAAACTATACTTTTTCATATTTAATGAAAATACAGAAACTACCTATTTGATAGGGAAAACTGGATTGCAACTGCAATTGGGCATTGCTTCAAAGTACAATTTTTCAACAACCAAAGCAACTAGCTAGACTTATGATTATTGAACTATCTTGATCACATTAAGCCTTTCCAGCATTTAATATTAATATCCAACTTTCATCTAAAAATTAAAGGTTAATTTCTAAAGCCGCCTCTTTAGAAGTCTGGTAAGTGCTAGCTGTGAATGAAGAAGGATCTTATAAATAATGAATTCTTCCCTAAGCAGAGTTATCAGATGTCCCACATATTTCATTTGAAAGTATAAGGATAAACACTTTCATTTGAAAATTCTTCCAAAGATTCCAATAGCAGCGAAATTTTAGCATGTTCCCCCATGCCTTATTACCATATGCAAGTGAAAAAAACCTGAAACATAGGGGTACATTCCAAACCCACACAATATATTCCTTATGATCTGACTTGTCTACATGTTTGATGTGTTTATACTCAACTTGGAATCTGAACATAAAAGAAATAATTTTGTGGCCATGGCGATTCCAGAAACATCATCTAAACTTGGCCCAAGTAAACTCTTACAATTTATTTGGAAGGTATGATAGTGATTGTTCTCATGGAACTGTTTCATAGCTACTCAGAAATTATTCTAAAATTATTTTCAGAGTGAAAGAAAGGATAAAAGATTAATGACCAACCTTATCAGTTTCATCCACACTACTGGATTTCAGCATACAAATCTCAGGTTTGTCCTGGCTTTGAGCAAGATTCTGGGGCACACTTTGAGACGCAGGCATCGGAGGCAAGGGCGCTCGTCGCTTTTTGGGCATTTCAGAGGGCAGAGTATTTGAGTCATACTGTTTGGAAACTGAACTGGATCTCACAGCAAAGGCTGGCTTTGGCTTGTTCATGAGTGGTGTTGCAGGAGCACTGGCTGTCTTATTGGGGGTTGGGTGGGGATAGAAAAAATGATTTGATTAGATTTTAGCCAGCCAACTTCTTTAAACCAAGAATTATTCACATTTATTACAAGGCCTCATTCAAATTTTGCATAAGCAACACAGAAATTGTTTTCTTGCAGGAAGTTCCCAGAGAAACTCAGTACAGAAACCATGGGGAGATTGGGTGATAAATTGATTGTTTCTATTTGATCATCAACAAAAACAATCCTTTGGCTATTCTGGGTTGACCAAAATGGAATTAGAATGAATGGGGCAAGCTGGTGTGCATTGCCCCCTCTCTCTTCTCTACAACTCTTCTCCCTCCTCCTTGTTCCACTTCTATCAATGTCCCAGCATGGTATATCCTTCTGAGTCATCTGCTCTAGATCTTCCCAGGGCATTCTATCCCTGCATTCAGGTGCTGATGCTTATCAGCATATTCCACTGGCCCATTCCACTTCCTGATCTCCCCTTCCTTCCCTAGGCCTCCATCAATGTTGCTGTATTGTGTATTCCAGCAGCCTACCTCTCCTCTTCCCAGCATCTTACCCTCTCTATCTCACCTTCCTCCTCTCAGCTGCCAATGCTCTTGGCTCCTCACATATACCACTTCAACATGGACCAAAATAGGCCTACTTCAGTCTATGCATGGATAAAACAGCCTCATTTCACTCCATCCTTGGACCAAAATGCCCAGAACGTGTGTGTTGACTTGGGCACCAAACCTTCCACACATGGGACACTTCATGCACAGAACATTTGATTATCCCTAGCTCCTATGCTGCTAATATGTAAGGGTCAAGTCCCCTAATAATGACCTGAAAATCTAGATGCTCATGTCTCATTAGTCAAGTTCATTGAAAGAAAAATGGGATTAGATTACAAAATCTTGAAAACAGGAGATTACAGTATGGTCTTTAGTCTTTTATCAGCTCAAGCATCAAGGTGGGTCATTCTTGATGCCTTTGACCTTCTTTCCATCTCTCATTTGATTTAAGGGGAACTAGTTAGCCATTTACAATAGATGGACAAATTGAATGTTCATCTATTCATTCTTTCTTTTTCTTTGTTTATAATTTAAATTTCCACTTAACAACAATTTCCACTGCTTCCACTTGTCAACAATTCTGTTCTATTCTGGTTTTGCAATGTTTTGCAAACATTCTCATTCCCAAGCTCAGAGAACCCATCACACTAAGCAGGAAGAGTGAGTTAACACCACAGCCAGTCTTAATCTATAGGCAAGTGGGAGGTGGTGAGAGTATTAACATTCGCACAATGGTAAAATCCAAGTAAAAAGGTCAAAAATAGTGTCTTCAAAGCATGGAAGAAATAGTTTCCTTAGGTTGCAATCTTAGGATAAGGAAAAGCTGGGAATCATATTGTGAGGAGTTATTAAGGTGTAGGTGTTAATTGTGTAAGAAAGTCATTCCTGGAAGCAAAGAAATAGGGAGACTCCATGACTTTTTATCAGGAAAAGGGTCATTAGCTTTGTGAGAGAAACTGAAAGAAGTTACAGGGCTAAACAATAATCCTTTGTTAAGCACTCCAGTTGATTTCAACAAGACAAACCGTCCAGGCCGGCTGAGAATGACCTGCTCAAGCTTACGTTCTATCCCACCGTAATTACAAACATTTATACAGTATGTTTCTTACTTGTTGTCGTTTCTTTTTGCTTCGCTGAAAAATGCCAAAGAATCCTTTATTTTCTTTCTCCTTCAAATTCTCAGAATTTTGTGCATTCTGAAAAGAATCTAAAAAGAAAATAGCTTCAAGTCATAGCTTCTAGCTCCTATTCATATTTTCTTCACTGTACCTCTCTTTCTGTTACATAATAAATCTTTGAAAAACAGTAAGAAGTTCAGTAATATTAATGGGAAACTATTTCATTTTGCAATATAGTTAATAAATCTTACACAGGACATTTAGCCTGACACATTTTCTGCAGCTTCAGATTAAAATTATTATCTGTATCAAAGCAAGTTGTAATCTGCATATCTTTTTCTCATTAATGGATAAAACAAAAGCTCCTTAAAGCTCAGAGTTGATTCTTTCTATGCATAATTCTCAAAGAATAGTCCTTAGCAAGATTTATTGAAAAGAAAAGGATGGGGTTACACAAATTCAGGCAACCAAATTAGTTTGTATTTAAAGTCAGTGTGTGAGGGCAGAGGCTTTTTTATTTCTCTTTTAATAGCCTTCCTGTGAGGTGGTAGGCATTTTCACTGATAACAGAAAAATGTGCAACTGCCTGTTTACGTAACAATCTCCTCAATTTTCATCAGTCTGGGAACCAACTATTATACCTACACCATAATTCCATCTCAAAGCTAATCAGCTTCTAAAAACTGACTACCGAATATTTTTTCATTAGTTGGAATTGGGTTTTTTTTGCAATAATAATAATAATTCAAAAAATCGAATAAGTCAATTCAGGCACTTTGGAACAAAGAGGCAACCCCTAATGAATAAATGATACTGCCCTAACTTGACAAACAGTCATGTTGCATTTACTCTAAAAGAAGGTGACCCTGAATGAAAGCAAACACAAAAGTCTGTAGTACCCACTATCTTCATTTTGTCATGTCAGGGTTATCAATGGCAACTGAAACCAATCCTGAAGGTCCCACTTCCCTTCCCCCACATAAGTGTGGGTGAATTTATGTATGTACACATACTATATGTATCCATGTATCAGAACATACCCCAAAACTAAATAAATAAAAAGGCCCCCAAATTAAAGTAATAAATACTAATTATAATTAATTGCCCGCAAAATAAGATACCCTATTTATAAACTTAATTGAACCCTATCTGCACATGCCAACCATTCCTTCACTATTCTCACACATCCCTTTTCCTCCCCTACTTCAAGCAAAAAAGCAAAGAAGAAAAATAATGGATTTTAATTTAGTAGCTATTTGACATTCTGGTCATCCTTCCCAACTGTCATATGCTTTCCTTTCTTCTATATGTAGAAATGAGTGTGTGTGTGTGTGTGTGTATACACACATATCCCTATGTGTGTGCACACACACACACTCATTTCTACATATAGAAGAAAGGAAAGCATATGACAGTTGGGAAGAATGAGCAGAATGTCAAATAGCCACTAAATTAAAATCAAACATAATTGTGGACAATGTTATGAATGCAAGAATATAATTTGGGTGGTGGGGTACCGCAATCTAAAAAGGGATCTAAAGTTTGATTCAAATCACTGATCCACAAGCTTATTATTAGATCTTGAAAACAATAATGCATTTGTTCAGGAGTACTAGACAATGATCATCCAGTCAGTCATAAGTATCAGAAAACAATCGTCTCCATCAAAAATTCATTCTTCAACAATCACTTTAGAAAATCTACTAATTAAAATGGCAAAAACTCCTTCACATTTAGAATTGTTATCTACATATTTCCACCACCCAATCTTCCTGTAAAAGCTATTTATCTTTGGGGGGAATATCCTCCAAACAAGCAATTCCAGTTCTCATCTTTTTAAAACTAGCCAACACTTGTTTATCCTTAGCTGGAACCCTAATCTTTTAACATTACATGGTACAAAGGTGACTCCATTGTTATTAGTATTAAAAAAATAGTAAAAATAAGATTATGTCACATCTATCCATGTCCTACTTGGGTTCCAGTTAAGCATGAAACTGAAAAAAAAAAGGGGGGAGTGGGAGTGAAATTTAAAAAAAACTTTCAGGGAATCATATTGGGGAAAGGAAGAGAAGTCTACTAAGATATTGACCTTCATACTCAAGGGAATTAAACAATATAATATTGTACTATTTTAGAAAATACATACAGATTACAGATCTAACCAACAATTTTATTCTAAATTTATAGATCCAATTCCTTTCATCAATACTATCTGAGATTTATTTTTATTTGGCTATATCTCTAGAATTTGGACTCCAACAAAGCATCAAGAATTATGGACTGTTCAAGCATGGAGAATAGATATACAACAATGGAAAGATAAATCTACACCTGATTTGCACCAATGGAGTACAGTACTGCTATGTGCTGTTTGTCAACATTTGATTTAGGAATTGTTTTTCCAATGAAGGAGCAAGAAAGAAGATTTTTTGAGGAAACAAATCATAATCTTCAGAGTAGTTCTATTAATAAAAATTTTCTAGATTTCTTTCCCCTTTTTTCTCCCTTTCATTTTTAATTATAATGAGCATTAATTTTATGCAAATACATTATATTAATACTCCTTTGTGAATGTACACTGTTTTTTCTATTAACTAGTTTAATGTAATTAAAATAACAGCAACAACATTAATTTTTGTGGGACCGATCAAGATTTAACTCCTCTGAGTTGTCTCCAAAGAGGTATATATGTACTTCCACTGATATACCAGAAATATTTAAGAGTGGAAAGTCTAGAGGAGATTATTGTCATGTATTTTTTATTTCTCCTCCAGCCCCTATGACACTTCTCAGGCAACTCCAGAGTCCCAGGCAAGGGAGGATAGAATTGTGTATAATTTCTCTGTTGTTGTTCAACAGTTATCTGATCATTCAAGAGTAATCCTATATTAGATGTACTATACATAATCAATGTTATCAAATACAAATCAATGTTATCTAATTTAGATAAATTGTAATTAGAATTGTTGATTCTAACATCATTGAACAAGAATAGTTGTGTATCTCAATACTTTATTGTTTGTTTCTATTTGCTCTCTGAGATCAAGATGACTCACCGTGTAATGATGTCAAGCTGTATTCAGCAGTTGGCGTGGCTAGAGACAAAGAGAAATGCAAATTTAATTGTAACTGAGAATGCTTCTTTAAAAAGTTTCAACATAACAGCTGAAAGCTACACAGGCAAGATATTAAAATAATCTATAGGTAGTCCCCAGTTTAAGAATGAGTTCGGTTCCCAAGGTCTGTCCTTAAATTGAATTTGTATGTAAGCCAGAACAGTATTATTGTATAATACTGTATAACTAGTATTGTGTAATTAACTCAAACCATTGTGTAATTAACTTGAACCATTGTGTATTTGACTCGAATTTTGCTACAATAGGCTCTGTTCTTAACTATGGGTCATCCAGAAACTGGGCATTGTTAACCCGGGGACTACCTGTATTTGATCATATCTAGAAAGAAAGGACATATTGTAAATTCGTGGACAGTACAACTGGTGCACTACAAACTGCCCTAGAAGCTTATATTGCATGGAAGCCTTAGGAAATAAAAGCTAAGTTTCTTAAGATTCTCATATACAAAATTCTCTCCAATATATGTGATAAAAACAACCAAGAGAAGTAGATTGGGCTGAGATAGTATGACTGGCCTAAAGTCATCCACTGAGTTTCTCTGGCTGAGGATGCAGTTGAATCTGATTCTCCCGAGTTCTATTCCAATATCTTAACCATAAGATTATATTGTGATATTCCTATTTTACAGCTTATCTGACAGTTTGCATCTGTTTCCCATGCCATTCATTTTCAGCAATCCCAGGGAGGGTATTGTATCTGAGAGCTGAAAAGAGGGAAATAGAATCAGCTTAGTATATGAGAGTTAGGGAAAAGCGGTAATAGACCAATTGTCTGATTTGGATTCCAGAATTAGCAAATGTGAACTATGAAATATTAGAAAGTTATTTTACTTAACATGATATTATGAAGGTAATCTAGCAATATAAATGGAAAGTGATCTTAATATGATAGTTACGCTATGTTTTTGTAAATCAACCATGTATTATCTTTTATTTTGGAACAATCAATAATGGGAATGCAGAATCAAAATTATAACTAAAAACAAAAAATTGTGCTTTACAATATATTTCCAGCATTTCTTTCAGCAACAGCTCTGAAGACAGACAAGTCCATAAGTCTTACCTCTGCTGACATCCATTGCATATAATTCTCTGAGTCCAAGTTCATTAAGGGATTTTCTCAAGTCAAGAGTCTCTCGAGATTGATAGGTTTTTAGCAAAACAGTATGTAAAGGATCAAAATCACATTTGCTGCTGATAATTTGCACAATTTCTTGAAGAGGTGCATGAGGACTAACTCGGACAATTGTCTTCTGTGTCTTCTTATAGTTTACCACAACTCTCACAGTTTGCTAAAACAAGATAATTTTTTTAAAGAGTTAAACACACTGTAATGGAAGGCTTGAGCGAGGAAGATACTGGAATGGAGGATCAAGGAGGGAGGGGAAACATTCCAGAGCAAGTGCCTCCTCAGTCCGCAGCAAGGGTGTGGGAACAGAAAGAGGAGGAGGCTAGCCCCTCCCTAGGGTCTCACGGGGTTATATCCACTAGTTGCTTTAGCATAGGTTTAGTCTGGTGAGATTCTGTCTATTAGGTGCAAGCTAATAAAGGAACTGACCTGTACTGGATTGCCTCATTGTTGTTCTTGGGCTGAACCTGACACACACCATGCAAAATTATTACCAATATGATTTGCAATACTCAACATAAAAAAAAAATACTATAGAATAGTAATTAATTCTCATATTTCTTCAACTCTTCTAAGATCATAAGAAAATTCCATTATGGTTTACAGCTCCCTGTAAGATATGAATCTAGGCCTCCCTCATTCAAGCATACTAGCCTAAAGATGTTAGGTTGTGGAATGAATTGGAGCAGTGTTGTTTTTAGCTGTTAACGTTCTTTCCCCTCAGGAAAAGAAGAAACAGTCGTAAGTATGACATCAAGAGTAATTTGCTCTTACTAAAAGGGAAAGCCTGCCAGGATCAATTTTTAGGAGATCAGAGAGGTGCAAGTAAATGGAAGAAGCAAGAAGGATCCAAAGCAAATAATTTCAGCATGAATAGGTGCATCTAAAATATGGATCAGCAATGGATCTTTTTATGGGCCAAGTGATATAACTCTTAATTTTGTTAGCTGTCCTGATGATTTGCTTGAGAAGTATAAACTTTACAAATAAATAAATACATTAGTGGCCAAAATATTTTGTTTTTTTTATTGCATAAAATGTTCCAAGACTGTTATTCTTGTGAGGTTTTACAACTACATCTCAACACTTTGCACAGGGATGCCAACATCTCACAAAATTAGAGCACTCTTATCTCAAATATCATGACATTTCAATTCATCTAAATTTTAAAAATTTAATTTTGTGGAATGACAAATGCTGTCTGGCCAGTATCACAGGTACCTTGGTATCTGTGAGCACTGTGTAGCTGACATGTGTCCTAAGGCAGTGTATTACTGCTTTATTATATATTTATATTTATATCCATATCCCAAGGCAGAACCCATGCTAACTATGTACTAAATTGCAGCAATTTTCAAAGAAAATGTAATGAACAATTCTGATACTATCTCCATAGTCTTCAGAATAAAATCCACTGAAGAGTAAGGTAAATGAAATATATGGGAGATAGAGGAATGATAATAGTAAGACTTTACTAACTTTCTCACCTCTGGGATGATAGGAATAGGCTTTTTCCTATCTATTTGTTTTGGCTTTAAAATCACTTGGTCAACTTCAAGCATCCCAATAGGTGTATTAGGTTTGAATTTGATTGGTTTCTTCTCAGCTGACATCAGGTCGATAGTATGGCTTGCGGGATTTAAACGGTATTGTGCACAAAGGTATACCAATAAGTCCATCATTGGTTTGCTAGAAGAAAAAGTGATAGAATATTATATGCAGATATTCAATACACTGCATCTCTGATGTCAAATAAGCTTACAGATCAGAATATAAGTGGCATAAAATACAATCCATAGAACTTTGAGGATTTAATTCACTGCCTTGAAACTTCAAGCGAACTTTCCTGTTTTTTAGCCTTTTCTATTTCATTAACTTTGGAAACTGAATTTTGAAATATTATAGTTTAACCATTTTAATGTTTAAAATTGAAAGCATAAATTATACTTACAATAAAAGTGTTACATGCTAACAGATAATCTTTTGCCTCATTTATCTTTCAAACCAAGAGAGATTAATTTTAGAGGAAAAATAAAATTAAACTTCAGGCTCAATATTTCTTTCTATAGTCAAATTCTCAATTCAAAAGTTGAGCCAAATCAGGTTAGCTACTTGGATTTTATCAGAACAAAATATACAAAGGTGATGGTTGTGTTCTCACGTAAGTACTCTATCTTAATCACAAACAGGCAATAAATGGTGCCTGATTGTTCCTGCTTGAATCCTTGTACTAGGATTCAACTAAATGGCTGCAGTTAGCAAACTGGGAACTGCATTTTTCTCTACTAACAAGACAGAATAAGCAAGACAGAATCCTAGAAAATGCATATATACACTATGATTTCTACTTTTAATTTATAACCAATATCCAAATGAATGTCTCATTACCTCTTTGCACTGTATCCTAAACGTATATCATTAATTAATGTATATCATTAATTAAAGAATATAATTTATGTCTAAATTGTACATAAATGAATTATGTACAATTTAGACAATCATTTACTGGTGTTTTATCAATTAGCATAGGTGTATGCAGAGGAGACGGGGAGGCAAAATGTGTGTCACATCATCACATAAATACCATAACTTACATACATGCATCAGACATCTGGATACGAATACATTATTACAGCATTTGTGTGAAGACATCAGAACATCCATCACTCTGGCATCACTGCCCCATTTGCTCTGGATGCCACTGCATATTAGTATGCAACCTTGACTCCAAAAAATTATTTTCTCATGCATGAAGCTTAATACATTCCTAAACCTTTGAAGCATTTGGAAAAAAATGACTGTATTGTTCATAAAAGTATTCCTGCTATGTAATCTCCACCCATATTAACAATGCTTACAAATTATTACAGTTCTTGTTTCCCAGAAAATTAGCGTTATTTTGGATTGGTGTTGGTGTCATCTGTAGTTTAAGTTCTTCTATCAGAAGTACAGCCTTTATAAAAAAAAAATTAGTCATTCTTTTCCTTTTAATCTGTTCAGGTGTTTGTTTTATCAAAGTGGTGATTTATTTCCAACAGCTGGGGTACTTGCAGACAAAAGCCAGCTGCCAATATTGATGTCACAAAATGCAGTTGCACAGAGATATCTGAACACCTGGGCGAGAGAAGAAAAAAAAAAACTTCTGTAGAAATGTCAGTGACTATTTTTTTAAAAAAAAGAAAATCTGAGTTTAATTTTCCATATATAGTACTGACATTCAGCACAGAGGTTTTACACCATAATCTGGTACATGGCAAGAAACTGAATCCATTATCTTTCCTGTGAAAGGAGGTACCTTGCATGGGACAGAAGTTGAATTTCTTCCAGTCTATGCAAAAACCAAAGCTTGGAAAGAAGTGTTGTACATTAGTGTATGTACAATAATGCCTGTAAATTTTCCTTCTGACACCACATTTCCTTGGAAGAGAAAGAATCAAAGTCAATGGCATATCCCTTGGCAAGTATCCAGCAATCTAATGACTTTGCAAGTTTTTCTGAAGTGAGCCAGTGTACCTCCAAACACAAGGGCATGAACTTGAAAAGAGAGGGGCAATAAGAATAGTCAAAAATAGAATTTAGACTTGACCTTAACATCTCTATGGGGAAAAGAACAATTCCTGAAAGAATGAAAAGGTCATTTAGGTCTCTGTTTCACAATTTGGGATGAACAGTAAGACTGGAAGCATTGCTTAGAATTGGATCTGTGGTTCCTGCAACAGTGCCTAGAAAAGGAGGGATGCTGGTTAGTTGATGGCATAGAGTAGTGATGCTCTCTAAGGTATTCTCTCTTCAGAGGCAGTGTCTCCAATATGGTTTCAAGCTTCACTGGCAGACTAGAAGCATGACTTTTCAATGCCAATGTCTTAACAGCAATCAACATTTTGGAAACCATGATCTGTTCCTTGAAGAGACAGCATGGTAGTCTCTAACACTCAAAAACAGTGTATGCTATGCATCTTATCCCATGTACTATCCAAAGACATTCACTTTCTGACCTTCCTTGTCACTGGAAACAATTAGTATCCTAGTGCAAATCTGAACCCTGACAGGTAGCCACCAGTACTAAGTATCATTTTGTATCAATGTTCACACTGGGTCATTTCAAAGAATAGGTTTTATATCTATTCCAAGTACTGAGCCATGTGCTGTAATTGTTCACAAAGGCAGATGTCTCCAGTAAGAAAAAAGGGAGATTGATCTATACTACTCAATCAGATGAAGATGCAGAAGGCAGAAAAATGAGGCAGGCTCTGATTCCAGCTACAGTCATCTAGATCTTAAGAAGTGAACTAGTCCATTACTGCAATCTGAAGATCCACAGGTATTAAGTCTGAGTGGATTAAAAAATCAAAGACTGGTAAGAAATACTGATGGAAGGATAAAAAGCAGTCCAATTGTGAAGGAGAAAGGAGATCCAATGATGACATAACTCTAGCAGACTGGTGTAAAACTAAGCTCTGCGCTAGTATATCCAAAGCAGTAGTCTGTACTGTAGAGGCTGAAATGGATTTTATCAGGAGGATTAAGGGCCTTGGTTCCAACGTCACTAAAGGAGTTTTCATCAGTAATGAAGATTCTCTATGCATATAAGAGAGCTTCTCTAGGCCTTGAGATTATAGAAAAAGTAGAGCAGCTTGATTGGGGCTTATGAGGCAAAGGCAATCTCACGATGCTAAACCTGAAGAGACCTAAAATGGTCCCAAGACCTGAGTCCTGGATGATGATGATAATCTTACAAGGTTGGGAAATTAGATGCCAATAAGATAATTTCTATGGAATACCTGGCTGAAACCAACATTGGTCCCATTCCCCAATGACGTTCAAACCTGGCAATATCAAAAAGAGAATCCTCCACCCAGATATATCACACAAGATAAGCTTTGAAAAGAGACATAAATGGAATGATTTCAACAACCTTCCTCAGAAGTTTCGACACCTTTATCACTGCCTAAAGTTAACTGTATAAAGACTTTTTGCCCAACTGGGAACATAAAGTTTGTTTTTAATCTACTTTGCTGATTTCTGTTGAAGGTGCTGGATATAATCAAACTATGTGTTTAGCTATTGTAAACCATCCTGAATATAGAAGATGGCAGTTTTAGCCAAACATGGCTGATCTTGAAAAAGCTAAATAGGGTTGGAGCTGGTTAGTATCTGGATGGAAGAGTACTAGGAAATTCCAAAGTTGCAAACTAGCCTGGGAAATTTTAAAAATCCAGGTGGCAATAACAAATGTCTTCCATATCAATGCCAAAAAAACATGGACCTGTGAGGATCAAGCTTAACGTGAAGGAGATTTCATTTAAGCCACCCTGACTCATGCATTTGTATTAGAAAGTCTCAGAATCTGTGTGTGAGATGGGCAGCCATATAAATAATTTAAATAAACAAATCTGAAAATCCAGAGGTCTTCACCCGCAAAACAGCTTCAAAATTTCGTTCATCATACCTGCCATTAACATTAGTAGTCTTGATCACCTCTCCAGGAAGAACCACAGACAACTCAATGTCTCTGTCAATAATATTTTCTTTTTGCTCCATAGTGGAGTTAGTTAGTTCCAGATTATCAAAATATGAGCAATCAGCAACTTTTGTTTCAGGTGGAGGAAGGGGAGCTTTTGGCTTGGCTTTCCGCCTGTAATAAAACAAAAAATTGAAAACAACACAAAAACATTAGACAAAGTAAATTCAATGGAAAATCTTGGATACTAGAAGCCCCCCATCCCTAATGGATTTTTAAAACCAAAAGAAACTATGTAATCCTTAAGCACTGAAAGGAAAGTAAGTACATAATCAGTAAACTTTACCAAAGCTCAGAGTAAGCTCTCGACCAAAACGAGTTATCAGACCAGCAGGACAATGTGGCCAAATTAAGATGGTGTACAAATTTCATAAATAAATAGCCTCAAAAAGACTTTTACTTGATTCCCCATATCTGATATGGTGTTTAACTAAATGCTCTTAATGTCTAAATTTCTTAATTGTACATTTTAAAATATGTGATGAAAATATGTAATGGTTTAAATAGTTTGCTGCTGTTGTGGTTTACTTGATAAAGCATTACGTTTTATTAGCATTTTGCCATCTATGGCTGGTGTGGGTCTTCCGGGCTGTGTGGCCGTGGTCTTGAAGTTTTGTTTCCTA